CACCCCAGACCCAGGAGCCTCGACCTCGGGGCTGCCGTAGCAGTGGATGCTCTTCAGGTCAGTGCGGGTTAGAGAGAAGAAACATGCTTGGAGAAGGGTTAGAGATGTCTGTTCTTAAATGAAACAGTTCTGCCCTAGATCATGTGCCCAAGTAAATGTTTCTTGCCAATATATGAAGCAGTGATAGTTACACTATTCCTCTGCACTTTCAGTTGAGGAAGGTCTCTGTATGATATGAGTATTTACTGGGTGTTTAATTTTCTCTACACTGTGTTAAGCACTTGGGGTTCAAATAGTAGTGTTTCCCCAAGGAACTCAAGCTCATGAGAGAAAGAACACAGAGACATGATTTCAAGAAAATATAGTAGTTCTCTGAAAGTGGGGTGTCATGGCAGCCCAGAGGATGGGAGTGGAGGTGAAGACATTGCTCCTAATGACAAGAGGAACCGTAAGAGGAATGCTTCAGAGTAGTCCCGTTTTTCCTCCAGTGTCCCACAGAAGATCCTGGGGCATGACTGGTGTAGAGCAGGGGTCTACAGGTGTAGGAAGGGGGCTTGCTACATCTTGGGAGAAATTATGGCATCCCTGGTAGGACATTTTGGAGAGGAATGTTGGTGATTGAATTGGATATCTGTAGTCACTTTTATCCTATCTTCAGTGAACACTGCTGAGACCTTCCTTAGTGCCAGACCCTAAGCTGGGAATCATGAACACAGAGACGAGTAAGAATATGATCTCAGCTTTCACAGAACTCAGTCCAGTGAATAGCAAGTTATGAAAAGTGTAGTGATGGTGGCTTCATTAAAGCAAGTGGCTCATGCTGCATGGAGATGACCTCAGTGGATGGCTGGGTCCCCCTTCTGGTTGTTATCAACAGCTGGATGACTTGCTCTGGGCCAGTGACCCTGGATTTCTGTCAGGTGTCGGCATCTTAGGTACAAGCAACACCTCAGTTTCCTGTGGGGTCAAAACAGTTAACACTGCCAAGGTGATCAGAGGACACTAGTGACATCAGTAGCTACTGATGCGGTCCTAGCCAGCTAGGGAAATAAAGATGTAAGTTTAACAACGATTCTAAATTTGTTCTTAACATCATGAGCAGAGAGTATCTGTCTTCTAAGTTAAATACTTTTTAGACTTCAAGATTCACCCACGTCCAAAATAAAATCTATATCAGCCATATTACTGCCCTGAGTTGATTTCTCCCTGTCCTTACCAGAAGCCTGCACTATCTGGAGCACTGAGGCTGTCTCAAGGTAACTGATCTGCTCCCTGGATTCCAGGGTCACCCGCAGAGCCAGAGGTTGAAGGCACAGGCGTTGATATCTCCGACCGTTCTAACTCCAGGTTGATCTACCCCAATGCCCAGTATTGATCACACAGTAACAAGATGCCACCAAAATTTTGATTTGGGGCTATCATGTTGTAATTTTAATAAAATTTAATAGACATTATTTTTTAGAATAATTCTAGATTTACAGACAAATTGAGCTGATAGCACAGGGAATTCCCCTATTCTCTCTTGTCCCCTAGAACACAATTTCCTCTATCATTAGTTTCTTGCATTAGTGTGATACATGTTTACAATTGATCAATCAATATTGATATGTTATTATTAACTAAACTCCATAGTTTACATTAGGGTTCATTCTTTAAGTTTTATAGTTCTGTGGGTTTTGACAATTACCTAGTGTCATGAATCCTCAGTACAGTACCACACAAATTTCACTGCTGAAAACCTCCTTGTGCTCAACCAATTCACCCCTCCTCCACACTTGGCAATCACTGATCATTTCACTGTCTCTACCATTTTGACTTTCCTGGAATGTCCTAGTGTTGGAATCATACAGTGTGTAGAGTCACTAGACTAGTTTCTTCCTAGCATTATGGATTTAAAGTTCCTCCATGTCTTTTCATGGCCTGATAGCTCATTTCTTTTTATACCGAAACTGTGGTACAGATATACCACAGTTTGTTTAGCCATTCACTTAGTAAAGGACATTTTGGTTATTTCCAGTTTTTGACAAGTATGAGCAAAACTGTTGTAAATACCTGGATGCAAGTTTTTGAGTGAACATGTTTTCACATTACTGTGGTAAATACCTAAAACTGCTATTTGCAGGATTATGGAGCAAGGCTATGTTTAGCTTTGCAAAATAAAAATAAAAAATAAAACCTGCCAAACTGTTTTCCGAAGTGACTAGCATTTTGCATTTCCACTAGCAGTGAATGAGAGTCTCCGTTTCTCTGCATCTTTGACAGCCTTTGGTATTGTCACTTGTTTGGATTTGAGCCATTCTATTAGGTATATATTATAGTGTAGTGGCATCTCATTGGTTGAATATGCAATTTCCTAGTGACACATGGTTTCGAGCATCTTTATGGTATGCTTATTTGCCATCCATATGTCTTTTCTGGTGAAGTATCCAGATCTTTTGCCCATTTCTGAATTGGGTGGTTTGCTTTTTTATTATTGAGTTTTAAGAGTCCTTTATATATTTTGGACACCAGTCTTTGATCCGATCTGTATTTTGCCAATATTTTTTCCCCAGTCTATCACTTGTTTATTCATTTTCTTAACAATGTCTTTCACAGAGCAGAAGGTTTTAATTTTAATGAAGTTCAGCGTATCCATTTGTTTCTTTCTGGATTGTGCTTTTGACATTGTATCTGAGAAGTCATCGCTAAACCCACAGTCACCCAGATTTTCCCCTATGTCATCCTCTAGGAGTCTTACAGCTTTGCACCTTACATTCAGGTGTAAGATCCATTTTGTGAAAGGTGTAAAATCTGTGTCTAGATTTATTTATTTTTCACATGTGGATATCTAGTCATTCTAGCACCATTTGTTGAAAAGACTATCCTTTCCCTGTTAAATTGCCTTTGCACCTTTCTCAAAGATCAGTCTATTTCCGAGCTCTGTATTCTTTTCTGGTGACCTATTTGTCTGTTTTTTTCTTCCTTCACAAATTTCCATACTCTTTGGTTACTGTAGCTTTATAATTAGTGCTGAAGTCAACAGTGTCAGCTCTGTCAGTTCTGTGGGCATTTTTCTGATCTTTACCATGAGAACCTGGTTGGGCTCCAGGTGGTAAAACTTAGAAAAGTGTGAGATCCCCCCTAAATCTGGGCCCCAAGGAGTTTTGAATGCTCAAGCCAGGCCACCCTCAGCTTCTAGTAATCTGTCAGTACCATTTAAGTGCTCCTCCCATTTGCTGGTTTCAGCAGCTTCTGTTCCCTGTGTTTGCCTGTCTTTCTTGTTTTCAGCCTGGCAATTTGCCCTGTGACCTCTCCTCTAGGCCCTCTAATAAGGTTTGATAAATTTCAGTTTGTTCAGCTTTTTTCTTGTTGTGAGAACAAGTGGTGACCTCCTGACTCCTTACAAGTTGGAGTAGAAACCAGAAATTTCATTGAACAAGTTACTTGTAATAAAAGTCACTAATTGTAAATGTAGAACTGAATAATTTCAGTAGATATGTAGAATTTTGTAGCCATCACCTCAGTCACCTCTTAGAATACAGACTACATTTCTTCCCTCCCCAGATTCCTCAGAGGCTCTTTGCAGTCATTTTCCAATCCCTGGTCACCATGATGGAGCCTGAACAAAATTAAAATTTGGGAAACAGACATTACATTTCAGCTTTTATTAGATTGGGATTTTATCTAATGGACCATTGTCTTACTCTTGTGTCAACTAGAGGAGATATTTTATTCTAAGGACTTTCTTTGGGGGAACTTAGTAGTAGTTCTGTTTATTGCTCTCCTTGAATTGGTTTGTCTGTGCTGGTAACAGATAGTTGCTATCAAACCTTGTCTGGTGATCACAAGTGAAAGAGCTAAAAGAAAATCCTTCTATTAGAAATGTAGATGATGAATTTTCAGATAATGTTATGCAGAGTTACATTTGATTGTTTTTGAGCCGGAGTTTCGCTCTTGTTGTGCAGGCTGTAGTGCAATGTAGCGATCTTGGCTCACTGCAACCTCTGCCTCCTGGGTTCTAGCAATCCTCCTGCCTCAGCCTCCCGAGTACCTGGGATTACAGGCATGCACCACCATGCCAAGCTAATTTTGTATTTTTAGTGGAGACAGGGTTTCTCCATGTCGGTCAGGCTGGTCTTGAACTCCCAACTTCAGGTGATCTACCCTCCTCAGCCTCTCAAAGTGTTGGGATTACAGGCATGAGCCACCATGCTGGAGTGCTATGTGCAATCTCAGCTCACTGTAACTTCTACCTGTAGGGTTCAAGTGATTCTTGTGCCTCCGCCTTTCGAGTGGCTGGGATTACAGACATGCACCACCATGCCCGGCTAATTTTGTATTTTTAGTAGACAAAGAGTTTCTCCGTGTTGGTCAGGCTCATCTCGAACTACCAACCTCACGTGATCCATGCACCTTAGCTTCCCAAAGTACTGGGATTACATGCATGAGCCGCCACACCTGGCTGGGAGTTACATATTTAACATCTTTTTATTTTTCTTTCTTTCAGAAATTGGATTGGTAAGATTGAAGAGACACTTCTCACCTGCCTGAAATGCCCTTCATTATCTTCTTCAAGTTGCAAGGGCTCTGGAACAGCCCTTACAGTGCTCCCATAAAGGTAAGTATAGCATTTTACTGTAGCCCCTTGCTTTTTTTTCTTTTTTGTGCCTATAGGGATTAGCATACATGTATGTGAAAATATAACCAGAGTACAGATAGGCACCTGTAACTAGTTTTCTGTTGCTACCTATGAACGCATTATAACAAGTTAGTGGTTTGAAACCACAGAAATCAGGATTGATTGGGTTCTCTGATCAGGGTCTTAGGAGGCTGAAATCCAGTTACTGACTGCCTGTGTTTTTCATCTAGAGCTCAGGCTACTCTTCCAAGTTCACTACAGATGTATTGGCAGAATTCCTCTTCTTGTGGGTGGAGGACTGAGATCCCTTTTTCAGTCAGAGACACCCTGACTCCAGAGGCCACCTGCATTCTTTCTCACTTTTCCCATCTTCCAACCAACAACAGCCCATGGAATTCTTCTCCAGCTCCCATCCTCTATCTGACTATGTCTTCTCGTACCCACTAGAGAAATCTCTGACACTTAGGGAGTGATGTGATTCCATCTGGCGCACTCAGGAAAGCTCAGCCTTTGTATTAGTCTGTTCTTGCAGTGTTATAATGAATGACCTGGGTGATTTATAAAGAAAAATGTTTACTCAGATCAGGGTTCTGTGGTCTATGCAGGCTTCTGCTTCTGGGAAGACTTCAGGAAACTTATAATCATGGTGGAAGTGGAAGCATGCATGGTCTTCACATGGCCAGCGGGGGCTGGAGGTGGGGGGGAGAGAGGGGAGAGAGAGGAGAGAGAGAGAGAGAGAGAGAGAGAGGAGTAGGGGGAAGTGCTACATACTTTTAAACAACTAGATCTCATGGAAACTTTTTCATGCGACGGCACTTGGGGGATGGTGCTGAGCCATTAGAAACCATCCTCATGATCCAATAACCTCCCGCCAGGCCCCCCCCCAACACTCAGGATTATAATTCAACATGAGATTTGGGTGGGGACACAGAGCCAAACCATACCACTCTTTAAAGTCATATAACTGCCGTGTAACAACATAACCACAGAAATGTCTCATCAGCTTAACAGGTTCCAGAGATAAGGGTACAGCAGGTTTGGAGACCATTTTAGAAATTCCACCTATCACAGTTCAACTTCTAGTCCGCAGACATTCACGTTCCTCACAGATGCAAAGTTCATTCAACCTCTCACCTAAGGTTTCCAGGTTTCCTGTCATGAATGCATTAGTTCAAAGTGAAAAATGTCATGTAGCTCTAATCTGATCGAAAGTTTAAAATCTCATTTAAATCATCTACACCAAGTGTGATTGAGGCTTCTGAGGGTGTCCATTAAGTACAGATTCTTTTTTGTTTTTGTTTTTGAGAGTGAGTCTTGGTCTGTGACCCATGCTGGAGTGCAGTGGTGTGATCTTGGGTTACTGCAACTTCTGCCTCCTGGGTTCAAGTGATTCTCCTGCCTCAGCCTCTTGAGTAGCTGAGATTACAGGCATGCACCACTGGATTCAGCTAATTGTTTTGTATTTTTAGTAGAGATGGGGTTTTGCCCTGTTGGCCAGGCTAGTCTGAAACTCCTGACCTCAGGGGATCCATCCCCCTAGGCCTCTCAAAGTACTAGGATTACAGGCATAAGCCACCTTGCCTGGCCCAAGTACAGATCCTTGATATAATTCCCTTACCTCTGTTGACCTGTGAAACTGAGCAAACAGCTTATCTGTCCTCAATGTGCACTGGTGGGACAGTCACAGAATAACGATGCTAGTGATTCTTGTTCAAAAAGAGGGAAAGTGGAGGGAACAAAGTCACTCATCCAAAACCATTTTGAAATGGGGCCGAGCAAATTCCAGCAGGAATTTCTTGATTAGGCTTCTCAGCCTGGAACAAACCCTCTGTGACAGGGGGCTTTGTCTCTGGGCTCTGCATTTTTTTCTATTGTTACTGAAAACATTTTATTTTTCTTCTTCCCCCGCTCTTTTGGTTCTTCCCCTTTCTCCTCATGACAGCATCCTCCACTTAATCCTTGTTGCATCATCTCCAGCAGAATTGGTCAGATATTGCCCATGTCATGGTCCTGACCATCTCCATGAGGGGCTGTCCTTGTGAGCCCGTGCTCCTCTTCACTCACCTGACGTCTCGCAGTCATGATTCCTTTCAGCTGCCCTGGCTGGCTTAGGAGAAAACCTAAGACTCTAGAGTCCCAGAACAAATCTCTGCCCTCTCTGTCTCCAGGAGAGGAAGAAAATAACAGGGATCTTCATGGAGAAATGACCCAGGTGAGGGCCTGGACTCTCCAGCAGTTAGAGCAGAAGAAAGTTTTTGAAGAAGAATGGAGGAGCTGAGAGCGCAGGCCAGGAAAGCAGGATTGTGTGAAACGCTATTTAATGCTGTGTGCTCCCTGCCCCGATCTAGTAGCTAGTGAATGACAGCTGACCAAGTATAAATGCCAGGACTATAGAACTGTGATAGAGTTTGTCCAAAGAAAGGGGCTTTTACTCTTTGTTATCACAGTGGAAATTGCTGTTTTTCATGTAAAGTTTCTGAAAGGCAGCAGTGAGCTTCTGGAGGGTGAGTTACCTGCTCTGCACAGGGAGGCTGAGGCCAAGGCTTGTGTGTGGGATCTGCTGCCACCAAGCGGTGAGGGAGGGAGCCCGGGAGAGTCTCAGTCTTTCTGGGCTTCAGGTTTCTCATAGGTAAGGTAGTGGCTTTTTGTACCTCTCCGAGGTCCCTTCCTGCTCTGTTTTCTCTGAGTCTCTGAGGAATTGAGATGGTTTTCAATGCTGCCTGGGACCTTCAGCTGAGACCTGACTCTGTGTGTCTCCTGCAGGAGCCCGAGCTGAGTCTACACGCCGGAATCCCAGAGCTGAGGGAACAGGTGAAAGAAAGAAAGTCAGCAGGTTTAGGAGATGAGAATAATCCACAAAGGGCAAGGCATTGGTAAATGAAAACCAAAGAAGGGGAGAATAAGGACAGGCTGGGACAGAAGCCTGAGGGGAAATGGGCAATGCCTATGATCATTTAAATTATCAAGGAGCAGCATGAGCTGAGCAGTGGGGTCTGGGAAACTTACTCCACAGGAATCTCCTGCCTCTGGCCAGAGAGAGCCATAGGTTAAATCAGAGCTGGTTATAGTGAGGGGCAGCTTCAACTCCAGGAGGGGGAGCATGTGACCGTGAGCCTCCACCCCAGACCCGGGAGCCTCGACCTTGGGGCTGCCTAACAGTGTATGCTCTTCAGGTCAGTGTGGGTTAGAGGGAATAACCGTGCTTGGAGAAAGGTTGGAGATGTCCATTCTTACATCGAACAGCTCTGCCCTAGGTCAGGTGCCAGAGTAAGTGTCCCTTGCTTGTATATGAAGCAGTGATCCTTATACTATTCCTCTGCACCTTCAGTTGAGGGAAGTTTCCCATAAATATTTATTATTTACTTTTCTTTATACTATGCTAAGCACTTGGAATTCAGGTATTTAATGTCTCTAAAGAAACTGAAGCCAGTGAGTGGAAGAACACAAACAGATGATTTCAACAAGATACGGTAGTTCTACCCAACTGAGGTGTTGTGGGAGCCCGGAGGATGGGAGGGTGTGTCAAAGGACATCGCTCCTAATGACGGGGGAAGCATAAGAGAACATTTTCAGATTGGCTGGGTGCAGTGGCTCACGCCTATAATTCTGAGCACTTTGGGAGGCCGAGGTGGGTGGAACACAAAGTCAAGAGATTGAGATTATCCTGGTCAACATGGTGAAACCCCATCTCTACTGAAAATACAAAAAAATTAGCTGGGCATGGTGGTGCGCACCTGTAGTCCCAGCTACTTGGGAGGCTGAGGCAGGAGAATTACTTGAACCCAGGAGGCGGAGGTTGCAGTGAGCCAAGATCACGCCATTGCACTCAAGCCTGGGTAACTAGAGTGAAACTCCACCTCAAAAAAAAAAAATTCAGAACAGGCTAGTCTTCCTTCAAGCTCCCACAGGAGAGGATCCAGGTTCAGGGATGGTGTAGGGCAGGCACCTCTCTAGGGAAGGGGATTTGCAGCATTCTGAGAGAAAGAGCATCCTTACAAGATATTGGGGACAGAAATATAGGTGAAAGGGTCGGAGGTTTCTAATCAATTTTATTCAGTCATGGATGAACACTGCTGAGAGGCCCCTCTGTGCTGGGCCCTTAGCTAAGAACCATGACCACAGAGGTGAGTAAAATAGGATCCCAGCTTTCACACAATTGTCAGTCTAGTGACTGGTGGTTCATGAGAAGTGTAGTGATGGTGGGTTCATCGGAACCAGTGGCCGATGCCACATGAGATGACCTCAGTGGATGGCCTGGGCCAGTAACCCTGGACTTCAGCCATGTTTCAGCATCTCAAGGTACAGCACACCAATGCCTCAGCTCCATGTTGAGTCAAAGTAGTTAACACAGCCAAGGTATTCAGAGGACACTGGTGATACCAGCAGCTATGGAGTGTTTCCAGCTGGGGAAACAAAGAAGTAAATTTAATAAGTCTTCTAAAATTGTCCTTGCCATAATGATAAATAACTTTATCTTGATAATGAATTATATCCTGGCAAATTAATTACAATTTGCCATAATGAGAAATAACTTTATGCTGAGTACAGCTGACACACAAGCCCTTGAGGACACATGTCTGAGGATTCTGATGAAGATATGATGTCCAAATGTGTACACATTTGGACCTACAGTCCAGCTTTGAAACAGTGGAAGACCCAGTTTCAAATTCAAGGTTGCTTTGAGTAGAAATTCACTTTACCTCTCTTTGCATGGCAATGGGTCCAGTCTTCCCTAAGCTGCCCCTTACAAGAAAAGGAATCATACTGGTAAGATTTCAGACTTAGCAGACATGGGTAAGTAAGGAAGTCTTACAAATCTCTTCTAGCCACCTAGCAAGAAACCAGAAATGCTTCAGCAAGTTCATTCACATTCAGGACAGTTGTGTGCATTAGATCACAGACCCTGAGACATGAAGAACAGACCCCCTAACAAGGGAAAATATTTCTTCCTGTCCTAGGACATCACTGCCAACTTCAGGGAAGTGAGAACACAGCTGCCCGCTTTACAGTATGGGTTACTTTTGTGCCTGGAATGTGTCTGACATCCTGAGACCTGTACCCATTTCAGGGAGGCTTGGGAGGAGCCTGAATCACGGATGGAATTGGACAGTGCATGGAGATGGTTGAGCAGGATGAGGGTAAGTGCAGGGGCATGGCCAGGTCATACTGGGAGACAATGAGCGGCACTGATGGGGACAGACAAAGAGAAAGTCAACAGTTTGCGCTTCAGCATCAGAAACTCAAACCAATAACGAATTTGCTTTTATAAGTAATAAGTATTTTTCTATTTACATGAGAATTTAATCTCCAAAGAGAAATCATAAAAATAGTAAGTCCAGGGCATAAAACGTGAATCATAGCTGATATTTATTCTTTCTAAATAGAGCTATCAGTAAAATCTTCTTCATAAAACATATATTGTGGTTACAAAAAGGCAAAAGTCAGCCGGGTGTGGCAGCTCATGCCAGAAGTCCCAGCATTTTGGGAGGCCGAGGCGGGTGGATCATGACGTCAGGTTATCAAGGTCATCTTGACCAACATGCTGAAACCCTGTCTCTGCTAAAAACACAAAACATAGCAGGGCGTGCTGGCATGTGCCTGTAGTCCCAGCTACTCAGGAAACGGAGGCAGGAGAATTGCTTGAACGTGGGAGGCAGAGGTTGCAGTGAACCGAGATTGTACCACTGCATTTCAGCCTGGTGACAGAGCAAGACTCTGTCAAAAAAAAAAAGAGAAAGAAGAAGAAGAAAGAAAGAAAGAAAGAGAAAGAGAGAAAGAAAGAAAGAGAGAAAGAAGAAAAAGAAAAGAAAGTAAGAAAAATAGCAAAAGTCTTAGTAAAAATAATTGGTGTTCCTTAGAAGAAAATTATAGTCAAGGGAAGACCAAGTCTCATACTTCTCTTGTATATTCCTAAGTTCCAGGGAAATTCCAGGTAATAGAGGTTATTTCCCATGCTGTTAAAGCAAGGTTGCAGACACTTCTGAATTTTGGGCCCAATACTCTAGGAGGGAACAGCTCTGTCCTGGAAAATAATACAGGAATTGATACTCTTCCTATGACTCATTGTGGTCATTCATCCAGCATCACAGAAACCAAAAATGGAAATATGACCAAATTCATGATTTTCTAGCCCTCTTGTTCAGGTTTCTTACCTGATTCTTAGGATAACAGCATTACTTTGAAGATTATGATGAAGATATGCTGTCCAAATATGTGCACACTTTTGAATAAAATGCCTGGTACAAATTGGTCAACAAATAATAACTGAATAATTATATGAATATTTACTGAATGACATGGATCCTATGAATAATTATGGAATAATTATTGTAATTGCTTTTACTAGCCGTTCTCAAAACTCATCTATGTGTGACCTCAAGAAAGCCACATAACTTTGTGAACCTGCAGGTTCATCATTTTTAAAATGAAGAAACCTGACAGCTTGTCATTCTGCCACAGGTCAGGCCTCCCAGATACCAGAACATACATTTACTTAAAGCCTTTGATATATCTCAAAGCAGTATCCTTACAGTGTAGTTGGAGGATGGTGGGGGCTGCAGAGAGGCACGCTTTCCAGTGGGATTGATCCAGTCCTCCTTCCTTCATTGCCACATGAATGCTGGGCAGCCCAGGGTCACACCCATTGCACCCTCAACTCAGGCAAGCCCAGCAGCCAAACATAGGAGACCTGGGCTACAGAACAGTCTCCCAAGTCTCAGGCTCACAAAACCTAGGTGGCAATGAAAGCTGAGAAAGTGAGGAGGTGGTTCAGGTGATCACTCTTCCCTACTCGTTCCTCTCATCTCAAATTCACCTTCTATTGCACAGCAACACGGAGGACCACCAACCACCCCTGACTATCACCTTGATCTTGCTGTGTTTGGTTAGTGGGATGCAACCACACATCAATGGTGTTAGACCAACTCAGAAAAATATCTATCAAACAGTATTCCATAAGGACCACTCATGGCCCTGTTATTTTCAACATATGGAAAAAACAAAATGAAAACAAAATCATATCAGGTTTACAAGATTTCCCAAGAAAGATGGTCACACGTGTTTTCAGGAGATCTCTATAGAAATGATATTGATGACTTGATACCTTGAAAAGAGCTCTTCTGGGACTAGAATGATACCCATAAGTGACAAGAATGAGATGTAGTGTGCAGTCACATTAAAAAACAAATCACTCCACATAGAGGAAGCTTTGGACATAGGGACATCACACTGGTCTTAAGTGTAATAAAAAGCTTCTTCTGCCACAAACATCAGTGTAGTGGTATCTGCCAGTAAGAAAAGCTAAATCAGCATAACCATGGGATGCAGCAAGAAGAATATTGAGCCAGGAAAGAAAACATTTTTAAGAAATGAATTACTCATTGACTTTCTAGTGGATACAGAAAAAATTGCAGAAGACTCAGAGGATATCATGACAGTGTAATAGATTGATATCTTAAACTTGTGGAAAAGCCTTAAATTCTGTTTTAACATTTGAGAAGGAGAGGTGACTGACTTCATGACCAGCATTAAGAAGGTATCATGTGTTGGGAAACTGTTTCTGCCTTGACGGTTTTATACACATAAGAGATGAAAAATGAGGCACATGCTTAGATGTATTGGGAATGAAATGGGACTGTGGCATTGTCACAACAGTACACAAATACTGAGAGTGGCTTATAGAGTAATGGTCCCCATCTGTTGTGACCTCAGGTGAGACCAGGAGGCCTGTGTTTTAGCAAACCCTGGGCAATGGAATGAAGGGCTCCTAAGATTCCATGACACGCCCAGCTTCGAATTCTGTTATTGCAACAGCAGACCGTTACCTGGGACACTGCCCACTATCTCCCACACTCTTGTGAGAGTCTGAGCTGCAGAGAGCGCCTTCAGTTCTCAGCTCAAGCATTTCCAACCTTGTTTTTGTGGTTAAGGACCCTAAAGTGCTGTGAGGAGGGATCAAGTTTTTCTCAACAGTAAGTTAACAATTTGAGTTAACTGACATCCCTAGTCCTGATTAAAACTATTTGGTTTCCAGTTTTTAACCCGTCATGTGTTTGGATTTCTTCTCCCCAGTCCCTGGCTCTCCCTGTGGTGCCCCAAATGTCAGCATGGTGGCATCTGGCAGGACGTGTTCCAGGAAGACCACAGAGACGAACTTTCCAGATACCATCGAGAATTCCTACTCCCAGCAGGAAGAGACCAAACCGAATATTAGAGCCAGCAAAAATAGACTTCTTATGAGCCAGGTGGCCTACTTCCTGAACTACCAGCTGAAGACATACAGTAAGTTCTATAGGTTGACCACCATGAAAGTGATGAATGATGTCCTGTCTTGTCTCGAGAAACTAACCATTCTCTTCATCAAAATTAGTTTCATCCTTCCCATACTTGTAGAAAATAGCAATGGGTATTTTAACATTTAGTTAAAGATGGAAGACTGGCGAAAGTATTTAGCAACTTTTCCACGTCTTCAGTAAGGTGGGTGTGGGACTGGGGTTACAATCCTAGCTATTGATTTCTGACACAGGCACAGAACCACCTGTTTTTCTCAGCAAAAGACTAAATCATGTTTAAAGGAATCCTCTCTGTACCACCTAAGATTCTGCAGACAAGTAGCATCTAGACTGTTGGTCTAAATGCCTGACGCTACTGAACTTCCATTTGGTTCTGGTTTCTGCTAAGGCCCAGTAGGCAAATCTGAGTTCTGGGGACACTGGGGGAAACACAGTGATAGCACACAGTACCTGCTGTGAGGAGCTTGAAGGGAACCCTGCTCCTAACAGAACCTGTGGTATCTGTAAGTGGCACCATCAAGAGCAAGGAGTACCCTGGTACTGGTGACTCAACTCCCCAATTAGCTAGCATCCCTGGTGGGCACCACCACACCTGGCTAACTTTTGTATATTTAGTAGAGGCGGGGTTTCACCATGTTGGCCAGGCTGGTCTTGAACTCCTGAAGTCAAGTGATCTGCCTGCTTGAGCCTCCTAAAGTGCTGGGATTCCTGGCATGAGCCACCATGCCTGCTCCACAGATTCTTTTTTCAGTAAAGGTTGTTAGAATTCATCCCTTGGTCCAGGCTCCTATATAAATTTCTCTAACAATTGATTGGCAATGATATATGATTAGATAAATCAGTATTGCAGCAGCCCTTCTGGAAAGCAGGGCAATTTTTGAGGATTTTGGGGAAAAGGTTTAATTTTTTGCACTGACTTAGGTCAGAGGATGTGATTAAGATCTACCATATGAGGGAGATTTTGTCCCATGGTTCTGAAAAGCAGGCTCATATACTTCTAGGGCGACTTAATCTAGGGACCGTTAGAAAATTACTGTCAGAATACCACATTCTTACACTGAGAATATTTTAAGTTCTTGTGCTATGATCGAACACTGATTTGGTCTTGTGTGAAGTGTGATTTGCTTAATGTGACCTGCTCTTCTGAATTTGTTTATAGAAGTTCGAAAAGATCATGACGAAGAACAGAAATGCAGAGACAGCAAAAATAAACTTCTTATGAGTCAAGTGGCCTACTACCTGGGCTGCCGGCTGAAGACGGAAGGTAGTTTCTATAGGTTCACTGTCACGAAAGTGCTGAACAATGTCCTGTCTTTTTTCTGATAAGTGGTACACTCTCTTCTTCAAAGTTAATTTCATCCTTCCCATAAGTCTAGGAATATAGCAATGGGTATTTTAGCATTTAGTTAAAGATGGAAGACAGAGGCCAATGTATTTAGCAACTTTTCCACGTCTGCAGTAAGGCGGGTGTGGGACTAGTGTTAATATCCCAGCAAATGATCCTGACACAAGCACAGAACCACCTGTATTTCTCAGCAAGAGGCTAAATCATGTTTGCAGGAACCCTCTCTGTACCATATAAGATCCTGCAGAACTTATAAGCAAGATAAAGGTAGAAGTGTTTATTTCCAGGTTTCAAGGTGACTGAGTAGTTAAGACAAGTTGACTTTAAGGACATCAAGAGAGGAAGTAAGAAGAGTAAAAGAGGAGAAAAAACATATTCAAATCATAGGAAAGGCTGTCAGTGACATCGCTCAGTCCCGATTAAACCAATTTGATGTCACCATTTTCTAACCCATCATGTGTTTGTGTTTCTTCTCCCCAGTCCCTGGCTATCTGTGTTCTGCCCCAAACGTCAGCATGGTGGCATCTGGCAGGCCTCCTTCCAGAAAAAACACGGAGGTGAACGTTCCAGAAGGCATTGAGAAATCCTGCTCCCAGCAGGAAGAAAACAAACCAAATTACAGAGTCAGCAAAAATAGACTTCTTGTGTGTCAGGTGGCCTACTTCCTGAACTACCGGCTGAAGACATACAGTAAGTTCTATAGGTTGACCACCACAAAAGTGATGAATGATGTCCTGCGTTGTCTTGAGAAACTAACCGATTTCTTCATCAAAATTAATTTTATCCTTCCCATACTTGCAGAAAATAGCAATGGGTACTTTAACATTTTGTTAAAGATGGAAGACAGAGGCCAAAGTGTTTAGCAACTTGTCCATGTCTTCAGTAAGGTGCGTGTGGGACTAAGGTTAGAATCCCAGCTATTGATTTCTGACACAGGCACAGAAACACCTGTTTTTCTCAGCAAGTGGCTAAATCCATGTTTACAAGAATCCTCTCTGTACCACCTAAGATCCCACAGACAAGTAGCATCTAGTCTGTTGGTCGAAATGTCTGAGGCTACTGAACTTCCATTTGGTTCCGGTTTCTGCTGAGGCCCAGTAGGCAAAGCAGTGTTCTGCAGACACCGGCAGAAACACAGTGATAGCACACAGTACCTCCTGTGAGGATCTCAAGGAGGACCCTGCTCCTAATAGAACCTGTGGTATCTGTAAATGGCACCATCAAGAGCAAGGAGTACCCTGCTACTGGTGCCTCAACCCCCCCTTTAGCTGGGATCCCTAGTGGGCACCAAAGCCCCTGGCTAATCTTTGTATTTATAGTAAAGGCAGGGTTTCACCATGTTGCACAGGCTGGTCTTGAACTATTGAGGTCAAGTGATCTGCCCTTCTGGGCCTCCTAAAATGCTGGAATTCCATGCATGAGACACCGGGCTGGCTCCACAGGTTCTTTTTTCAGTAAAGGTTGTTAGAATTCATCCCTTGGTCCAGTCTCCTATGTAAATTTCTCTAACCATTCATTGACCATGATATATGATGAGATAAATTGGTATTGCAGCAATTGTTCTGGTAAGTAGTTAGTGCAATTTTTGAAGATCTTTGGGAAAAAGTTTTAATTATTTGCCCTGACTTAGGTCAGAGGATATGTGATGAAGATCCACCAGATGACGGAGATTTTTTCCCATGGATCTGAAAAGTAGGCTCATCTACTTCTGAGGCAACTTAATCTAGGGCCTGTTAGAACATTCCCATCAGAATATCACATTCTTACACTGAGAATATTTTACGTCCTTGTGCTATGACTGCACACTGATTTGGTCTTGTGTGAAGTGCGATTTGCTTAATGTGACCTGCTCTTCTGAATTTGTTTACAGAAGATCGAGAAGATCACGATGAAGAACAGAAATGCAGAGACAGCAAAAATAAACTTCTTATGAGTCAAGTGGCCTACTACCTTGGCTGCCGGCTGCAGACGGAAGGTAAGTTCTATAGGTTCACTCTCACTAAAGTGATGAACAATGTCCTGTCTGGTCTATAAGAAATGATACACTCTTTTCTTCAAAGTTAATTTCATCCTTCCCATACTTCTAGGAAAATAACAGTGGGTATTTTAACATTTAGTTAAAGATGGAAGACAGAGGCCAAAGTATTTAGCAACTTTTCCATATCTACAGTAAGGCGGGTGTGGGACTAGAGTTAATATCCCAGCTATTGATTCCTGACACAGGCACAGAACCACCTGTTCTTCTCAGCAAGAGGCTAAATCATGTTTACAGGAATCCTCTCTGTACCATATAAGATCCTGCAGAACTCATAAACAAGATAAGGATAGGAGGGTTTATGTCCTGGCTTCAAGGTGACTGAGTAGCTAAGACAAGTTGACTTTAAGGAGATCAGGAGTGGAGATGAGAAGAGTAAAAGCGGGCAAACGACATCTTCAGATCAGTAGGCAAGGCTGTCAGTGACATCCTTCAGTCCCGATTGAACCAATTTGATGTCACCAGTTTCTAATCCATTGTGTGTTTGGGTTTCTTCTCTCCAGTACCTGGCTTTCTGTGTTCTGCCCCAAACATCAGCAAGGTGGCATCTGACAGGACTCCTTCCAGAAAAAACACAGAGCTGAACGTTCCAGAAGGCATTGAGAAATCCTGCTCCGAACAGGAAAATAACAAACCGAATATTGGAGTCAGCAAAAATAGACTTCTTATGAGTCCGGTGGACTACTCCCTGAACTATCGGCTGAAGACATACAGTAAGTCCTATAGGTTGACCACCACGAAAGTGATGAATGATGTCCTGTCTTGTCTCGAGAAACTAACCACTCTCCATCAAAATTAATTTCATCCTTCCCATACTTGTAGAAAATAGCAGTGGGTATTTTAACATTTAGTTAAAATGGAAGACAGATGCCAAAATATTTAGCAACATTTCCACATCTGCAGTAAGGTGGGTGTGGGGCTGGGATTACAATCCCTGCTATTGATTCCTGACACAGGCACAAAACCACCTGTTTTTCTCAGCAAGAGGCTGAATCCATGTTTACAGGAATCCTCTCTGTACCATATAAGATCCTACAGTCAAGCAGCATCTAGTCTGTTGGTCTAAAGGTCTGAGGCTACTGAACTTCCATGCAGTTCTGGTTTCTGCTAATGACCCAGTAGGCAAAGCTGTGTTCTGGGGACCCTGGGGGAAACACGGTGATAGCAGACATTACCCCCTTTGAGGAGCTTAAAGGGGACCCTTCTCCTAATAGAACCTGTGGTATCTGTAAGTGGCACCATCAAGAGCTGGGAGTACCCTGGTACTGGTGCCTCAGCCTGCCAATTAGCTGGGATCCCCGGTGGGCACCACCACACCTGGCTAATTTTTGTACTTTATGTAAAGGCAAGGTTTCGCCATGTTGTCCAGGCTGGTCTGGAACTCCTGAGGTCAGGTGATCTGTGTGCCTGGGCCTCCTAAGTTGCTTGGATTCCAGGTGTGAGCCACCATGCTGGCTCCACAGATTCATTTTAAAGTAAAGGTTGTTAGAATGCATCCATTCGTGCAGTCTCCTTATAAATTTCTCTAAACATTCATTGACCATGATATATGATGAGATAATTAGTATTGCAGCAACCCTTCTGGAAAGTAGTTAGGGCAATTTTCGAAGATTTTGGGGGAAAAAGTTTTAATCGTTTGCACTGACTTAGATCACAGGACAGATGATTAATATCTACAAGATGAGAGAGATTTTGTCCCATGGGTATGAAAAGCAGCCTCATCCTCTTCTGACGTGACTTAATCTAGGGCCCGATAGAACATTCCAGTCAGAATATCACATTATTACGCTGAGAATATTTTATGTCCTTGTGCTATGACTGGACACTGATTTGGTCTGTGTGAAGTGTGACTTGCTCAATGTGACCTGCTCCTCTGAATTTATTTACAGAAGATCGAAAAGATCTTGAAGAAGAACAGAAATACAGAAGCAGGAAAAATAAACTTCTTATGAGTCAAGCAGCTTACTACCCAGGCTGCCGGCTGAAGACAAGGTAGGTTCTATAGATTCTCCATTACGAAAGTGCTGAACAATATTCTGTCTTTTCTGTGAAACTGAACACTCTCTCCATCAGAATTTATTAAATTTTTCCCATACTTCTAGGTAAATATAAATGGCTACCTTAACATTTTGTTAAAAATGGATGAGAGAGACCACAGTATGTAGCACCTTTTCCACGTCTGCAGTAAGGCAGGTGTAGGACTAAGGGTAAAGTCTCAGCTGTTCATTTCTGACACAGGTGCACAACCATGTGTGTTTCTCAGCAAGAGGCTGTTGATTTCTGAAACAGGCACAGAAGCACCTGTGTTTCTCAGCAAGAGGCTAAATCATGTTTACAGGAATCCTCTCTGTACCATCTAACATCCTACAGAAAAGTAGCATCTAGTCTGTTGGTCTAAATGTCTAAGGCTACTGAACTTCCATTCGGTTCCCATTTCTGCTGAGGCCCAGTAGGCAAAGCAGTGTTCTGGGGACACTGGGGTAAACATGGTGATGGCACACAGTACCCACTGTGAAGAGCTTGAAGGGGACCCTGCTCCTAATAGAACCTGTGGTATCGGTAAGTGACACCATCAAGAGCACGGAGTACCATTGAATTGGTGACTCAGCCTCCCAGTTAGCTGGGATCCCTGGTGGATACCACCACACTTGGATAGTTTTTGTAATTTTGGTAGAGGCGGGGTTTCACAGTGTTGGCTAGGCTGGTCTTCAACTCCTGAGGTCAAGTGATCTCCCTTCCTGGGCCTCCAAAGTTGCTCCGATTCCAGGTGTCAGTCACTCTGCTGACTCCACAGATTCTTTCTTATGTAAAGGTTGTTAGAATTCATCTGTCGGTCCAGTCTCCTATGTAAATTTCTCTAGCTATTCGTTCACCATCATATATGATAAGTTAAATCAGTATAGCTGCAATGCTTCTGGAAAGTAGTTAGGGCAATGTGTGAAGATTTTTGGGAAGAGGTTTTAATGCTTGTGCTGACTTGGGTCAGAGAATACATGATTAAGATCTAGCAGATGAGGGAGATTTTGTCCCATGGATCTGAAAAGCAGGCTCATCTACTTCTAGCGTGACTTAATCTAGGTACCAGTAGAACATTCCTATCAGAATATCGCATTCTTAAACTGAGAATATTTTTCATTTTTGTGATATGACTAGACACTGATTTGGTCTTGTGTGAAGTGTGATTTGCTTAATGTGACCTTTTCTTCTGAATTGGTTTACAGAAGATCGGAAACGTCATGAGGAGGAACAGAAACACAAAGTCAGCAAAAATAAACTTCTTACGAGTCAAGTGTCCCGCTACCCGGGCTGCAGGCTGAAGACAGAAAGTAAGTTCCATAGGTTCACCTTCATGCAAGTCCTGAAGGAAGTTCTGTGTTTTCTCTGAGAAACTAAAGGCTCTCTTCATCAGAATTAATTTCACTTTTGCCATACGTCTAAGAAAATATAAATGAGTATTTTAATATTTTGTTAAAAATGGACAATAGAGGCCAAAGTATGTAGCAACTTTTCTACATCTGTTGTAAGGCAGGTGTGGGACTGAGGGTAAAGTCTCAGGTGTTGATTTCTGACACAGGCGCAGAAGCACCTGTGTTTCTCAGCAAGAGGCTAAATCATGTTTACAGGAATCCTCTCTATACCACCTAAGTGCTGCAGACAAGTAGCATCTAGTCTGTTGGTCTAAATGTCTGAGGCTACTGAACTTCCATTGGGTTCCCGTTTCTGCTGTGGCCTAGTAGGCAAAGCAGTGTTCTGGGGACACTGGGGAAAATGCAGTGATTGCACACAGTACCCACTGTGAGGAGCTTGAAGGGGACCCTGCTCCTAATAGAAACTGTGGTATCGGTAAGTGACACCATCAAGAGCAGGGAGTACCATTGTATTGGTGACCCAGCCTCCCAGTTAGCTGAGGTCCCTGATGGATACCACCACACTTGGCTAGCTTTTGTATTTTTAGTAGAGGCGGAGTTTCACCATGTTGGCCAGGCTGGTCTTGAACTCCTAAGGTCAAGTGATCTCCCTTCCTGGGCCTCCTAAATTGCTCCGATTCCACATGTTAGTCACTGCTGACTCCACAGATTCTTTTTTATGTAAAGGTTGTTAGAATTCATCTGTCAGTCCAGTCTCCTATGTAAATTTCTCTAACCATATGTTCACCATCATATTTGATAAGATAAATCAGTATAGCTGCAATGCTTCTGGAAAGTAGTTAGGGCAATTTTTGAAGATTTGGGGGAAAAAGCTTTAATTGCTTGTGCTGACTTAGGTCAGAGGATACATGATTAAGATCTAGCAGATGAGGGAGATTTTCTTTCATGGATTTGAAAAGTAGGCTCATCTACTTCGAGGGCGACTTAATCTAGGGACCAGTAGAACACTCCCATCAGAATATCACATTCTATTTTTCATTTTTGTGATATGACTAGATACTGATTTGGTCTTGTGTGAAGTGCGATTTGCTTAATCTGACCTGCTCTTTTGAATTTGCTTACAGAAGATCGGAAACATCATGGGGAGGAACAGAGATACAAAGACAGCAAAAATAAACTTCTTACCAGTCAAGTGGCCCACTACCCCGGCTGCAGGCTGAAGACAGAAAGTAAGTTCCATAGGTTCACCATCACCAGAGTGCTGAACGATGTTCTGTGTTTCCTCTGAGAAACTAAAGACTCTCTTCATCAGAATTAATTTCATTTTTGCCATACGTCTAGGAAAATATAAATGGGTATTTTAATATTTTGTTAAAGGTGGACGAGAGAGGCCAAAGTATGTAGCAACTTTTCCACATCTGCATTAAGGCAGGTGTGGGATTGAGGGTGAAGTCTCAAGTGTTTCTGCAGAAGCACCTGTGTTTCTCAGCAAGAGGCTAAATCATGTTTACAGGAATCCCCTCTGTACCACCTAAGATCCTGCAGACAAGTAGCATCTAGTCTGTTCTAAATGTCTGAGGCTGCTGAACTTCCACTCGGTTCCGGTTTCTGCTGAGGCTCAGTAGGGAAAGCTCTGTTCTGGGGGAAATGTGATGGTAGCACACTATACCCGCTATTGGGAGCTTAAAGAGGACTCTGCTCCTTGCATAACCTGTGGTATCTGTAAGTGGCCTTATCAAGAGCAGTGATTACTCTGGTCAGAGGGACGTCCTGCTTTCTGTGCAGAGGCTCTTGTTGGTTAAGAGGAAGAACGACAGCACCCACGACTTTGTGGAGGCAGCAGTGCATAGAGGAGGGGCCCTGGGCCAGTCTCCTGAGCTCCATCCAAGTTGCTTCTTTTGTTTCTTACTCAGTTGTGTCATCTGTTCATAGGATACTGTAATAATGCCTACCTCTGTCAATTGCTGCACTGAATTAGATGGCCTGTTGATTGTAACTCTCCCGGGACAGTTGTTGGCACAGAGTAAACAGTGTCTATTAGTTTTTCATTCTACTGTGTCTAGCATAAGAGAAACTTTATTAGTCTGTGCATATTTCCTTTATGGCCTTATGAGAGACTCCAGACCTCCATACTTCCGTGATGACAATTTTATCAGTGGTGTTTTCTTACGCTAAACATGTGGCCATGACATGACTAGGACTTTCTGAATGAGAACACAGATGGGAAACCCATAGGGTTGGAGGTCACAGTATTGTAAATGTCCCTCCTTCCGTGATGGATGGTGGTCTTTGGAGCAAGAGGCAGCATCTCTCCACTTGCAAAGGACATGAAGGAAGCCGTGACAGAAGGGCGGTTGTTGGAGTGGAAAGAGCTCTGGAGTAAGAATGAAGGTTCCCAGGCTGTATCTTCAGCAGTGTTCCTAGGAACTGTCAGTGAGCAATTGATTTCTCCTTCCTGACTTTCTCTGTCTTCATCTGCAAAGGCAGGTAAATTTCTCTCTCTCCATCTGCAAAGGCAGACATCTTGCAGTGTCTGAAGCATTCAAATTTGCAAATACTTATGCCCGCTTATTACAATGAGATAAAGCCCCTCGCTGTGTGGTGTTGGAGAAAGCACTTGATGTGTGGGCATTTGGTGGTAGGAAGTGGTTCAGACTGGAGCACTCCCCTTGGAAAGAATGTCCCTGAATAACATAGCAGAAGCCACTTGAAGGGCCTGTGAAGTCACCTGATGTGCAGAGGATTATGGGACAAGTTTGTTTATCCTCTCCTAAGAGAAAGAAATAGGTTGTAAATGTGAACTGTGACAGGACACCAAGCCTGTCCCTGGGAATCAGATCTGTGTCAGGATGGCAGAGACAGCTGCCAAAGTCCAGAGAGAGGCTGCAAAAGCCTCCAGTGGTATGGAGAGCAGAAGTGTTTTCAACATTTGGCTTCATCTTCATGATGAGCCTCCTGATCAGAAATGCACTGCCTGGTGGATCAGGAAACCATGCCAGGGCATTTTGTTAAAGAGAAAACATGAGAGCTTTCAGTAGAATGGGGACCCATACACAGATGTTCACGTCCCTGCGCACATTGGGCTGACTGTCCTTGCAGAGTGAAATGGGAAATATCTGAACGAACACACCTGTACTTGCAGAAAATGACAAAGATGAGGATGAAGATGTTCATGTTGTGAAGGCTGAGAAAATACAGGAATCACATGCCCCCTGGTAACACTGAATAATCAGGAGTAAGTAATGAGTGGTAAAGTATGGAAAAGGTCTAGAAGCACACCCATGGAGTCTCCCATGGGCCAAAAGCCTGCATTCCCTTGGCCACAATATGTTCAACCCACCTTAGACACAGGGTGTGGCAGCTGTTGTGGTTCTTTGTATGTGCTGAGTGCCGTGTCTGAATTTTACAGGGATAACTGAGTCTCTTTTCTTCTTGGCTCCTTTCTGCCCAGTATAATGAATACCAGCTGCTCTCTTTCTCTCTGGTTCCCATGGCAGCCATGCTCTGTTGCAGAGAGGAGAATTGCCTGTTTCCTCTCAAAGGGAACCTCCCATTTGCCTTCTGGGACCACTCTCTCATTCCTCCTGTGAAAACTAGCTAGGACTCCCTGGGGTCCAATCCCTCTTTGTTTAATCTTCTGTCATCTCTATCCCATCTGGCTCATCAGGGAGGTCCAGAAGATTGAAGTCAAGAAAGTCCCTGAGGACTCACTGGAGAAATGTGTCATCACTCATTCAAATAGCTATGGCCCTACTGACTCCAGCCAGCCTCACGGAGACTCCAATGAAATCACATTTGAGGAAGACAACGTTGATTCTGCACTGGTTGTAGAGTGAATCATCTCATGATGTGGTGGAGGATGCTCTAATCATTCTTTCAGGTGACCACTATTTTCCTTGTTTTTGGTACCTCTGTCTAGGCTGAGGAAGATCAATTCTGAAGACAGTCTTTATACACACAAATTTGGTTTGAATCAAAACCTATCATGGGATACTAAACACAGATACCAGGGAATTTTTATCTCATCCTCAGCTCATGCCATGCATTTGCCGCCGAGGTCCAAGTATCAAGTTACCAGACCCCAGGCCAGTGTGACAAGCTCATGGTCACCTGTATGCAGGAGGTGTACAGGAGGTGTCTGTCAGGTCTCCTAGCTTTGATTCAGTATCTCTTATGTCATTATGCCATCTGTCCCTGAACAATGTCCATGGAGTTTCTATTTATTTTCAAGGAAACTGAGAGCCTTGCCTGTTTACTTGGAGAGATTGTTCCCCAGGTTTCACTGCTCTGAGCTTCAGTCTTGATCTCTTTTAAGCCAGCTTGCTTAGCTGCATAGTCACCTTGAAACCAGGATGAAAACATTTCCTCTTCACCTTGCTGATATGTTTCCATAAAGCAAGGCTCAGCCCTGGCTCTCCACCCCATCCATGCAATGGCTGATCTGATGTTTCTTCATAGCATCATGTATTGTTTCTTGTTGTTGTTGACATGGAGTCTCCTTTTGTCACCCAGGCTGGAGGGCAGTGGCACCATCTTGGCTTACTGCAGCCTCCACTTCCCAGACTCCAGTGATTCTCCTGCCTCTGCCTCCTGAGTAGCTGGGACCATAGGTGCCCCCCACCACACCTAGCTAATTTTTGTATTTTTAGTAGAGATGAGGTTTCACCATATTGGCCAGGCTGGTCCTGAACTCCTAACTTCAAGTGGTTCACCCACATTGTCCTCTGAAATCACAGATTTTTTTTTTTTTTGGAAATGGAGTCTCCCTCTGTTATTCAGGCTGGAGTTTAGTTGCACGATCTCAGCTCACTGCAACCTCTGCCTCCTGGGTTCAGATGATTCTGCTGCCTCAGCCTCCCGAGTAGCTGAGACTGCAGGCATGTGCCACCATGCCCAGCTAATTTCTTTGTATTTTTAGTAGAGACAGGCTTTCACCATGTTAGCCAGGATGGTCCCAATCTCCTGACCTCGTGAAGTGCTCACCTCGGCCTTTGAGAGTGCTGAGATGACAGGCATGAGCCACCATGCCCGGCCCACAGATTCTTTTTTGTTTTGTCTTTTTTTATTCAGTCTCCCTAGAGACTGTCAAAAATTGTCAATGCCAACTCTATTGCATGTTATCACGGTGCGGTATTGGGAAAAGTTTTCAATTAGCAATACTCTCATCTCAGGTAAAACTCATCAGCTCTGATACTGGCACTGAGCAAAGCTCACAGATTCTTTTTAAAGCAAGTGTTGTTAGAATTTACATATCAGTCCAGTTTTGTGTATAGATGCCTCTAACCATTCAATGACCTTGGTACCTGGTGAGATAAGTCAGTATTGCAGCAACACTCCCAGAAAATAGTTTGACTCATTTTTGGAGATTTTCTGGAAGAAAATTGGTTTAACTTTGCACGGACTCAGGCAGAGAATATGGCATGATGATCTACCCATAGAGGGAGATTTTGGCCTGTGTGTCTGGAAAGCAGGCTCACCTACTCACCAGGCTTCATCTAGGGCACCCTGGAATGGTCCTGTCAGAATTTGTATTCTTGCCCTGAGAATATTTCTGTGGTTGTGCTATGACTAAACACTGATTTGGTCATATGTGAAGTGTGATTTGCTTAATGTGACCTGCGTCTCTGAATTTATTTACAGACAGACAAAGTGATGATGAGGAAGAGGAAGAAAGAGGGCCAGTGCCCCCAAGGTAATGCTGTGGAGTTGTGGGCTGTTAGTTCAATAGTGACACCTGGAGACTGTAGATCCTGGGAAAACGAGGAATTGATGACTAGAACTCTTTCTTCCCTTCACCAGCTACAAATTGTCCTTATTAACAATGTTGTGGGTGATTGGTGGCACTTGTGTAGGCTTTAATTTCTCACTCCTCCCAAGATGGGAACATGCAATCAGATGAGCCAGGTGAACTCAGCAAACAGGGATTTCCGGGTTTCGCCTGTTCTCCCCACTGTGTTTAAACCCAGGGAGAGACGCATATATGCTTTCTGCCCATTTGTTGTGAGCATGTTTGCTAGGATTTGTGAAGAGAAGGAATTCAAAACATAGACATATGATGTCAAAATACTGGAAAAGGGAGGCCCTTAATACACAAGATCTGGGTGTCTGAAATGCCTCAGGAGCTCTGTTCACTTGAATGCCACATGTAAACTTCAACACAACTTATGCGAGGCAGTTGAAGCCCCGTGTTAGTTCTGGTGCTGCAAGTCATGATGAT